AAAAAAAAAAAAAAGAAAAAAGAAAAAAGAAATCCCGTCTCTACTAAAAATACAAAAATTAGCCTGGCGTGGTAGCACGCACCTATAATCCCAGCTACTCAGGAGGCCGAGGTAGGAGAATCACTGGGAACCTAGGAGGCAGAGGTTGCAGTAAGCCGAGATTATGCCACTGCACTCCAGCCTGGGTGACAGAGTGCAAAGAAAAAAGAAAAAAAAAAGAAGATCTGGTCCTATAACTGCTATCTGTGTTATTCTGGGCAGTTAACTCACTAAACTTTCTTGGGCTTTGGTTTCCTCGCCAGATAAGTTAAAAATAATACCTACTAGCCCAAACTGTTGTGTTAATCAAATGAGACAGTATCTGCAGAAGAAGTAATTAGTAAAACTTTGAAAGTGTTCTATAAGTATTTATGAATTAATGTTATAATTTGTCTAAAGTACATAAAAGGGAAAAATCAAAAGCAACTCCAAGGCTCTTATGTGGAAAAATAGAAACAGGGTGGGTGAGTGAGCTGGTGAAAATAATAAAATAATACAGGTGAAATTCTTGCTCTTCTGCCAGATTTTCTTCCTGATTTGAGGCACACAACATTGAAGAAATGAACTAGGAAGCATAGGATGAGAAATCAGAGTGGAGAGGAAATTGGAGATCATCTAAGGCACTCCTGACTTTTTATGGAAACGGAAATTAAGGCCCAGGGACGCTAAAAGACTTGTCTGAGGCCTCCCATCTAATGATTGGCATGATCAGAAACTCAGTTTCTTTAAGTGTAAAGAACAAGTACAATCTTTAAGATAAAATATTTTGTCATGGGGGTCTTTTAGAATCATTACATGAGGCCGGGCGCAGTGGCTCAGGCCTGTAATCCGAGCACTTTGGGAGGCGGAGGGAGGCGGAGGCAGGCGGATCACGAGGTCAGGAGATCGAGACCATCCTGGCTAACACAGTGAAACCCCGTCTCTGCTAAAAATACAAAAAATTAGCTGGGCATGGTGGCGGGCACCTGTAGTCCCAGCTACTCAGGAGGCTGAGGCAGGAGAATGGCGTGAACCCAGGAGGTGGAGCTTGCAGTGATTGGAGATTGTGCCACTGTACTCCATCCTGGGTGACAGAGCGAGACTGTCTCAAAAAAAAAAAAAAAGAAAAAAAAAAGAAT